CTACTTCTGCAGTTTATATTTTTTCTGCTGTTCCTTATAAACAAGATGTTAACTGTAATCCATTGCGGCTGCTGATATATCTGCATCCAACAGTTCCCCACCCACATGCACATGTAGTTCTAATTCCAAAATTGAACCACACCACCTTAAAATCAAGTAATTTAAGATTTATGTGTGCAGATGGTGAAGTTGTAGGTAAATATAATACAGACTCATGAAAGCTTACATTTCAATGTTTTTGATTTCCCAAACATTAATTGAATAGTTATTATGTCCAAAAACTTGTATGGCTCATATGAAAATCTATAGGTTTTAAAATTAATAGATAGGCAAAACAAATATTTATGCAACTATTTAATAAGAATATGTTATATTAAATATGCTTATTCTATGTCTATTACAAAGAAATCATTAATTCAATAGGAACCTGCTTAACCATTAATCTAGTTTTTCATAAAATTAACTTAAATATATTTTTATCTTTATAATATTTATTAGGTGGTCAAGGCTTCAACTTACTATTATATTCCCAAGAGTACCTTAGCACAGTGTCATGCATAATAAATGATAATTACATATTTGTTGCAAATAGTGAAATGTAACCTGTTTGGCTTCTCTGCTATTCAGATACACCTGTGCAACCAATATCGTGTATTGAATCCCTTCCGTCAGAAAGATCTTGAGTGATTCCTGTTTTCCTGGTCAGACTATGACTACTATAGCACCCCAATACAAACAGGAAATTTTGAATATTTTGTATATGATCTTCAAAAATGTATTCAGAGTTTCCATTATCCCAGATAAGATATTCATGCTAGATTTATAACACATTATTTTAAGTGATTTACCAACTACAGTACTTAGGTTTTGACCCTGAATTGACCTTGTTGGAAGACGTGCCATGTTTATTCCATGTCTTTATATACTCCTGGCACACTGCAACCTATACCTAGGGTTACTCAAATCTCACTTTGAAATGAATAATTCTATAGAATCACAGGAGTTTAATGATAAGTATTAGAGCATGGCAGTCAGCACACCAATTGAGAAGTGTACCAGAACTTGATGTTGGCCAGGCCAAGATAGGTGGTGGCTTTCCAGAGGCATTTAGTGACCTAAGAACAGAGGAAGAGCATGGTGGGTACTAATTTTTCATAGTGTTACTATAGTAACATGTATCAGGTGCTTACTATGTGCCAGGATTGGAATCACTATGCTATTGTACCAGAAGGAAACCACCAGGTCATAAGACATTTCTTCCCTCTTAGAAGTTGACAACCACTAAGGACATCTGGCTAGGTTTAATAGGGAGCATAAGAACTATGAAATATAAGTAAAATGGTGTTTGTCAACTAAGAGATAGCCAGGAAAGTCATTCTTGTCTTACAAACTATATGGAAGAATGTTCCTGAAGGACAGAGGTCGTGGTGTTCTATTTATCTTTGTGTACCTGACAGTGCCTTGAACAATGTTTGTATATGGTAGGAGGGTTAACATATGTGAAACTGAATTGACTAGAGAACTACTTTCTTCTTCCAGGGTATAGAATCTGGCAAACTCCCTTGGAATTCAAGTCCTCTAATGGCACTCGTAGACTCTCCCCTATCTAGCCTATTTAAAGCAAGCATGATTGAAAATGCGCAGGACACCCTGAAACATTTAATCAAAACATGGGGCTCTTTTACAGGAACCTGACTCAGTAGCTTTCAGGAAATGAATGTTAAAGAGGAAGTGAGGAAGTATGTCTAACCCACACCCTCACCCCACCAGAGGTCTTGCCCACAGCCAGCTTTCACCAATAGGATTTATTTGTTTATTTGTTTATTTGTTTGCTGGGTTTGCCATGCAAATGGAAATAATCCCCACCTCCCCAGAGTAAGCATTTCGGCTCTGGCAGATTGACAAGCAAGACTTGAAGTGAATAGTGGTGATTTCTAAACTGGGATATTTCTATATGCCCTTCATCTTTCTCTTTTAGCCTGCACTTAAGCATTGAAGGAAAAAAAAAATTCTTTCACATACCTGACTGGGTATTGGAAGCTGTTAAATAGTGGTGAAAACTGGGAGGATTGGAGGGAACTTTCCTCCCCTATTTTTTAAAGTTTGGCTGTAGGTCCTTCTGCCTGCAGGCTACAGTCACATTAGCGCTTGGAAATTGGATAACGACAGCACAATGACAAATCCAGGTTGCTTGCAATAAGTTGCTAATCCCTTTGCTTTAATATCGGAGCAGCATATAATGATGTTTGGACATCTCTCTAGTTTACTGACGACCCCACTGGGGCCAGCAATAGAACCTTACAACTGTCTAACAAGGCGTCAGGTGACTCCCGTCGTCACAGCAACGGACACTGGAATCTAATCTTCCCTCCATCCCTTCTAGCACCCAATAACGCCTAGATTATATAAGTGGCCCATCATTGCTTGGTAACTTGAATCAATTAACGTTAATTCGCACAATGCTATGATGTATTGTGATCACTTTCATTTCAGGGAAGGGGGAGAAATTGCTATAAGTCACCTAAAATGAGGTTGTCTGTGGTGCTGAGGTATTAATTGGGTGTCCATATTAAATGCAAAAGGAGCCCCATCGTGAAAGGAAAGTGGATGAGTGACTCTCTTGGCTGCTATTGACCTATCAGAAGAAGACAGTGCCCTTTTCCTTTGCCTTTATCTATTACAGTTTTCCCTATTGCGTGTCAAGTTGATGTATTATAAAAAATTCATTTGGTGACCTTTCACCCCCTTAGCAGATTAAACAATTTCACTTCGATGGCATCATTAACAGGACCCTGCATTTAATGATGATTTCTCTAAAAGGCCACGGAGATTCGATTTTAAGCTAACAGATTTATTGCACTATTATAACATATCGTAAAAAACTGTACCACCTACGGTCAGGTTTTAGGATAGAAACTGCTTAAGAGTTTATGTGGAGCTTAAAGTGGTATTACCTTGGGATACGCTCTAGCAGCAAGTCTCTGACCTCCAGTGCCATGCTGTTTACATTTAATAAGAGATGTTTGCTCACAATAAACTTTAAAGTGTGTCAGGGACGGGCCTTTCAGCGGGGGTTCAGGCAGTCGGTTCCCATCCCTTCATCTCTAGACATCAATGTACTTATGTCAGGATCTTTGATGGAGTCTTTCGGTTCCTTTAACCCACACTGCTAGCCTGCATGCTGTCCTGTATCAGAAAGCACTTCAGAAAGAGGTTAGGGGAGAAATAGGATCTGGTAACAATGTTAGAATTTTCCAGTAACCTAGGACCCATAGAAGGATAGAATTAATAGCATGGATTTTAAAAATCTGATTTAAATTGTTCCATTTAAAAAAAAAAAGTCAGGCTAAGGAAACTAATAAATGATGATTAGGCTAGTGTATGTTGAATTCCCAGTAAGTGATTCTAGCAGAGAGGTCAGGGCCTTAGCTGGTAGATGACCAAAGGGGGTTGTTAGAGCCACATGTTCCCACTCTGTCCCCATTTCCCAGGATTCTCAGGGGAGAGGGAAATTGCTTCCTAGAGAAACTTCATAGTTGGTTATCTAGTGTATTTGCTCTTCCGCTATTGCCTCATTTTAGGACTAATTGTCACCATTACCTGACATTCACTCTCCACTTTAGATAAATATTTTATCCTTTTCTCCTCACAGAAAAAAAAAAATAAGTAAAAGGTGGGGGAATAAAATAGTTGACTCACAGGCATTTAATTGAGGGCAGGATAAGATACTTTTTTTAAAAAATAAAAGCCTTGTTAGACCCGACCTAGGCTGTTTTTGAGTATAAATCACCAAGGGATGCTCTATATTAGGGTGATATATGTGATAAATGATGTCTATATATCTCTATTTAATTGCTAAAAATCAATTGCATGTTATGGTGTGTAATACACAATAAGCTTAATGGGACAATAGATATATAATCTATAATGTTCTTTTAATGAAGATATCTTTGGTTATCAAAAATACCAAAGCTCTGGGAAAAAGACCTTTTAAGGTATTGTGAATTATATAACCATTTTATTATTATTTTTTATTTATTGCATTTTACTGCTAAGTCACATCAGCAATCAATGTGCTCGAAAGAGGTGAAAAACAATATAGCCCATTGGTTAACTGCTGGAGACCCTGGCCACACACTTACTATGTGTAAGACCTTTAGCAAGTGACTTCAGCCTTTTTGGACCTCAGTTTCTTCATGTGTAAATAAGGGTACCTACATCATAGTGTCATTTTAAAGATACAATGGGTTTATATGTGGGAAGCTTAGAATAGTACCTGGTACACAGTAAGAGCTCAGCATATATTTATAAGTATTATTCTCCCTATGGGCTTCATTCAGTTAAAATAAATTAATCAATTAATCCCACGGTTATTGAACCTAGTTAGTGCAAGCACACTGTGGAGAATATAACTATGAAAGGGTTGTTGTGAGGTTTCCATGAGCTTTTCCATATAAAACAGTGGTGTGCAGGAGCTGGCCCTCTGGCATGTCTTCCCAATTCTTTTCAGTGATGTCATCTCGGTACCACTGAATCAGCCATAGTGAGAGTACGTATACTCCGGAAACTGGAAAACGCTACAAATCAGGGCCTATTGGGGGAGAGCTGATTTACGAGCATACTACTGAACATATCCCACCTTCTAAGTATTTCAGTCTGCTAAGTTCCCTCTCTGAAGCTTTGGGGCTGATGTTAATAAACTGTGATAAAAACCTAGATTCATAATTTGTGCTTCTCCCCCCCTGCCGCCCCCCCCGCTCCCCCCACACATACACATACACCCAGTCTATCCTTTACTTTGGATAAGCAAACATATAAAATAAACATATAATTATGCTTTGGTTATAAGGTCATGTTTGCCGTACAGTATATTACTAAGTTTCTAGAAACAAAGGCAAATGTGAATATTTTCACTGGTAATAATGTATTATGGAAAATAGCTACTGCAGTGATATTTGTAATCTCATGGATGTATTCTATTTTTTTTTAACATGTGCCAGAAATACAAGCAGCTTTAAAACTGGGAACTTGATATATACTCGGCCCTATGCTCTTGCAGTCCTAGTTGAGCCTTCAGATGGAGAAGTGGGAAAAGAACTTGTAGTACAACCACAACTGGTTTTTCTAGATAAGCAGGTAACTTGTTCACAGGTAATAATCTTTCTTTAGAGCCAGGTGCCATTTTGTATTCAGCATATGTTTTCCATTTCATCATCATGATGCATATTTACAGAGTGCCCACTGCGTGACATTTGCTGCGCTTAGAACTTGTTACTACTCTCTTCATTTTCCTTCACAGCCTACTTTCCTTCCACTTGCTATGAAAGTCCAGAATTTGATTAAGGGTAAAAATATAATTCTGATACCTTTCCTCCCCAAGCGAATTCTTCAAGTAGGTCTCATATCTTCTCGGAAATCTAGCCTTCTCAAAGAAGTATATCTATATCTGAAGGAGTAATTTCATATGCTAATGAAGGCATTTATGCCATCACATCTGCATTATAGTCTTATGTTATTTTAAATGATTTCTCTTATATGTGGTTAAGTAAATCATCAACAAGAGGCTTCAGTGCTTAGTTCTAATTTCAGTGTCCATGTCCTCCACTTCTATTTTATGTTTTCTGTATTTACTAAAGTCATGAGAAAAAAAAAAAAGTGCAATGTGATAGTTAAATCAGCTTTCCACTCTTTATTTTTAAAATGCATCCCCTGACATGTTTGCAGAGGGCAGAAGGCCGTGGGACTGAGGTTCACACTAGGAAACCTGTCACTTTCGATCTAGTCTGGCACTCCTTGACTCTCCCCTGCTTTCTTCTCCTGACCTTTCGTTCCTTATTAACCTTCAGCACATAATGCCGCTCTCCTCTTCTATAACTTAGCTTTCCTTTCTCCTTTTCACTGCCCTGCCCTAAATTTTCATGCAGTAATCTCTCTTCTCTTCTCTCATTAAGCTAATTTTGATTATTCTTAACAAGAGAAAAAATATTTATTTATCAATTTCCTTCCTTTGCTTATTATTTCTACCTAATATGTGCTTTATAAAAGATTTTGTCTGAATTCTTTTTTAGATAACTTCACAAAATTCTCTTCTGAATCCATCTTTTTCTTTCTTTTTTCCTATCTCCAGAATCAGAGAGTGGAGTCCTTGGGCGCCCCCTCAGAGCCTTGGGCCATTTCTGTTTCCCTGGAAGGGACATCAGACTCAGTGCTGAAAGGTAGGTATCTGTGACATTCAGAGACCTGTTAGCACTGCATCTGCACAGAAGATGTTTGCAACCATTAGGAATTCACAGCAAGGTTGGTAACACTCAATATCTTCAGTAATTTGAAAGAAATCTCCTTCATCCCAGTCTACAATGCCAGTCTCTGCGAAAAGGAAGATTGGGCTGGCAGTAAATACCTAAGGAACCACCTCCTCCTCTCCCTTCCCTTGCATGATGAAGGAACATTTTCGTCATCCCCGTATCCTCAATATGGTGTAAGGAAAAGGGCATGGAATCTTCAGCTGGGTCTCAAATCCCAGCTTTGCTATGGACTACTCAGGCCCCCTAAGACAACAGGTTCTCTGGTACAGCGTCATGGACTGGCCCAGGGAGCAATTCACAGGTAGAATGTGGCTTCTGTAGGGAAGCAGAAACACTCATTCTTAATGTTATAAAGAATAAATGCAATGGCAAATGTGAAGCACCTAGCCCAGAGCAGGCCCTCAGAGTTCATTGTCCCCTCTCCATCTTTCTTTGCCCTCTCTTACCTTCCTGCTCAATGCCAGTACCACTGCTAGCTTCATTTAATTTCCCTGGAGCCTGTGTATATGAAAATCTAAATGGGTATTACTTAAAGTGCAGATTCTTAGCCTTGGCCGAAGAAAGTTTGATTACATATTCTTCAGAGAGGCCCAGAAAGTGCATTTGGGGGCCTGGCCTAGAAAGAAACAAGCAGATATGCATGGTTTTTATAGGAAAAATGGTTCCTGAGTTCTAAGTTCTGACAAAAAACTCTTGGAATACAACCAACTCAAAGATATGAGAAGGTCCCCTAGTGGGCTGTCACAGGTTAGGAACTCAGAATCCCCAAGGGTCAGTCCTGCCACTGCCACTGGTCTGTCTTGTCTTTGTTTTAGAGCTTAAAAAGTGCAGGTTATTTTCTTATGAATTGGTTCAATCATTATGTTGTTATGTTTTAAAACAGTACACAATGTGATCCACAGAAAATATTTTAAGGAGAATGTGTTTGAGAAGCAGAAAGAAGGCAAAGGAGTCTAGCGACTGAGGGAGTTAAAGGGAGGAGGTGAAGTCAGAGAGGTGGGCTGGAGTCAGACAACAGAGGGAGTTTGGACTTGGCGCTCACGACAGGCGAAGCCATTGGAGGGTTGCAAGCAGGCCGTGAGGAGGTCTGACTTACATGTTTAGAAGACTCCCCTGTTCTGTGGAGGGTGGATTAGAGGACGGCAAGAGTAAATCTAGGAAGCCAGTTGGGAAGTGATCGCAGAAGGCCAGGCAAGAGACTATGGTGGAGACCAAAGTATGTGGATCCAGAGTCTCTTTTAGCAGTAATATCAACAGGATCTGCTGGGAGTAAAGGAAACAGGACTTAAGGATGACTTTTAGGTTTTGACCTCGATATACTGGGTGGATATTGGTGTTATTTACCGAAAGGGGGAAGACTGGAGAAAGAGCGAAAGGCAAGAGTTTTGATGAGGAGAAACGGGAAAAGGTAAGGAAGCACTGGCTGCTGGGGCCACGTTAAGACAGAGGTCTTTCCGTACGTGTGACGAAAGTTTGGAGACAACAGGAATGATCGGTGTCTGGTTTATGACCGTTACAATTTGTGTTTCAGAGAGTCAAAAGGACTTTCTGTTCTCTTATCTGCTCCCCTCTAGCCCACCCCACAAATTATTAATCATTGTTCCTTCTAGGGGCCTCCTCTATGTGTGCAGCCCAGGGGGGCATCTCTCAACATGCAGATCTTGCCTGAGATCCTCAATGCTCAATGCACAGGGCTGTCCTCTCAGAACAAGCAGCCTCATAGTCATCAGAGCACCCAGAGATTCTCCCTCTGGTTATGGATGGGATTGTGTACTTCCCTCTCATTTGAGGGAGTCCCAATCATGGACAATCATGTTCAACTCTGGGGTTTACTCTGAAGTGAAGAGAAATTTCTTTTGTATCAACCTGATATAATCAAGAACAGGATGGTCCACTGGGGCATTCTGAAATCATCTCCTCTATTCCAGTAGCAGGCCAAAGATTATAATGTCTGAAAAAGTGGACCTGTTAAATCCCTTTAATCCCTCTAACTAGTTTTGATGGGAAAATTACTAAAGTGTCCCAAGAATTCAAACTGATTAAAAATGATTTTTAAGGTAGGTCATGAAAAATATTCTCAGAAAGGAAAGCATCCACTTCCACTCCAAAACCTATAACCCAGACAGCCCTCCTCAAAAACCTGTACAGGACAATCTAGAAGAATCCAACCAATGGATTTACCTTGTCTGCACGAATTCAGAAGTTTCGAATAATTCTAACCAAGAGCTAGGATCAAAATAAATCTCTGAACTAAACATTGTGTTGCTGTTTTAGATTAGAAAGACTTTCTAAATATTAGCTCAGTTGCGGTTTGAAAATAACAAATGTTTTCAAAATATGCATATTAAATAAAGATTATAATGTATATTTTAGTATTGGTAAAAGAAACAAAAAAAGAGGAATAACAGTTATGTCTTAGGTACAATCATCTATCATCACCAGGATTTTTGCATATCCTAATGGGGGAAGAAGCAAGGAATCTGGTTAACTTTTGCCAACTCCTCTTTCTAGAAATATGGTTATAAGTATTGGCTATTTATGCAGAGTTACTGCTGTCATGGTAATAAAGCACCCTTTGAGACTTGTTGGTGACATGTTGAAGGGCAGGTTCCTTACTAATGAATAATTGACACGTTTGATTTGGTATAATCTATTTTGTATGATCAGTTTTGTCACCATTGTCCTGCTTGGGAGATTCAGTAGGAAAGTATCAGGAATGGGCTGAGGTGGTCTCCTATGCACACATTTTTTTTTTTTACCCTAAAATAGGGGGAAGGGGGGGAGAGAGGAGGGTGAAAGGGATAATTCGGCACATGTGTGTGGTGATGGGTTGTAATTAGTATATGGGTGGTGAACATGATGTAATCTATGCAGAAATAGAAGTATAATGATGTACACCTGAAATTTATACAATGTTATAAACCAATGTTACTACAATAAACAAAAAATTAAAAGAAAATAAAATAAAATAGGGGGAAAATTTTGTATAGTTTTCTGTTTTGAGAATGTCCACATCACCAAAACACCCTATTTCATGAGACTGAAAGTGTGTCTTGAAACCAACATGAAGTACTTCTCCTTAACTTCAGAAAGAATGGAACCAAAACCATTTGGGATGAATTACCTAACTTATTCTAAGTATTTTCTGGAGAAAAAAATAGCTACAACAAAACCATATCTATATGTCTAGTGTAAATCATTCATTCTGCAATTTAAGTTCATGTTCTTTTGTCTCAGTAGATCCTCCTCAGTAAAAAAGATGTTATAATCTATTAACAAAAAGTTAATAGATTATAGTAATAGATACTCAAAGATTATTACTAAAGGGTCCTTCAGTTCCTTTGGTATTTAATTATAGATCTTAGTTGTAGACAAAAATATGTTCTTAATATTTGAAAAAATAAAGTCTCAACATTAATGATCTAACAGTTTGCTAGTGTGTGGCTAGGGGTGAGAGGGATAGTTGTGGGGAGAATTTGGGCTGAAAAGGTATTTTAGAAGCCATACGCCCTGCAGAAACACATTCAGGTAGCAGTCCCTGGTAGTCATGTCATCAATTTCAATCTTGCTTCAAACCCAACACCCCAATCTCATCCCATTGTTTATTCCAGCTTGATCAGGGAGCCTGTCAATGGCATTTGTATATTTTACACTTGCCATTCCAGGGATATGATGAACCCTGGAGTAATGTACTGTACTCGGCAGCAACCGCCTCAGCTTTGGGGCACATATGCTTCAAATCTGAGAATATCATAGATATATATGGGAATCTTTGTAGAGATCTCCGAGGCAAGCTGGTATTTAACACAAAAGCAAACTCATTTGGAGCTAAAGTACTTTCCATTAGGCAGTTTGGCGGCTGTTCTACGAGGCAGGCTCACTGTGCTCCACGGACACATTTCGATTAAATGCTGCTTTGTATTCCTCCAAAGATGAGAACAATAAGGACGTTTGTCAAAGGAAAACTGCAGCCAACGATTTCATGTTGAACATCTGTACTCTGCGGTTCATTGTTTGCAAGAGTTTATTGACCATAATTTTGATGCATATAGGTTTTAAAGAGTATAAACTGCATTTATCTTGGGCGCCTATCATTTATTTGAGTCTTGGCTTATTTATTTCCATTTTTCTGGGCATTTTATTTATTTTGGGACTCTGAAGAGATGAAGGAAAAGATGTTTCTGAAAAAGGAAGTTTTAGTTAGCTCTGCAAAATTCATGAGGAAAGACAATATTTTCACAAAAAGGATGGAGCAATTGAATTGAAAAATGTTAACACTAAGCATATTGTATCTTTATGATACCTTTCAGCCTTAAAGATCTCAAACCAATTTATAAACTTTAAGACCACTCTGCTTTCTCAGTGTCCATCAAACCAATCATGGTGACATTTCCAGAGTGAAATGTAGCAGCTGTTAATTGGCAAAGTAATTTGAGGATAGTGGAGTCAGAAGACTAATTAATGGCATTGTGAATGTGATCCTGAGTTAAGTTCCTTCTTTCACTTTATAAATGGATAGCCTACTGTTGGAAGACGTAAACTTTTTGTTTTGCATTTTATGTGGGGAAACCATAGCCCAGGCAATCCAAGTTGCTAAATCAGGGTAGCCTTTATCCGTCATGATTTGATGCATTGCTGTGGTCCTTGTCTAGCAGCTTAATTCTGCTATCCGATAAATTACAGATACCTTGAATAGAAGAGAGGCAAAGCCTAGGAAGTGACCACCTGGAAAGCTAATAGACTTTCTTTCTTGAGAGACATTTAATAAGAAAATAGTCCATATACAGTAGTGGTTAAGAATTGAAATCAGGGCGGAGTCAAGATGGTGGCGTAGGCAGACTCTGAACTCACCTCCTCCCGTGGACACAGCCAATTTACAACTACTCGTGGAAAAATTACCCCTGAGACAG